GGCAATCCAGAAAAATACACACCAGATGCACGTTGGTTTCTAAAGAGTAATTTAAATACATTAGTAAATCAATGGCATTGACAGTTTGATGGACGATGATGGAAGAGTCTTCCTCTGAAATATCATCTCCAAAACCTGCAAAGCTCTGGCAACTGAGTTGTTACAACTTTATCATATTTTTAACTTCCATCTTTTCAAAAAACTTCTAGAGTGGAGTTGTTTCAGCTTAAATTTACATGGATTTCTCTCCTGCTGCATTGGCCCCTAACTTTTTAGGGTTGCTAAATGCCAAAGAGTGTTGTCCTTTTGAACTGTGGAGGGCCAGGAGATGCCAGTGAGAGGAGTGAAGACCAGCTCTGCTCTGATGAAACTTGGGTCTGTCAGAAAGAAGCTGGCTACCACTATGGAGTAGGAGCAGCAAAATATTTTATCTGACTGGCACATACTTACTGCCAGAGGGATGTTAGAACCCCTCAACATAAAAATAAAAGGAAACAGTTGAAAAATTTACCAAAAAAAAGTAATAAAACAAGATGGGGTTTGCCCCAGGGAATAAATCACAGGGTTACATTAAATGATCACATCATTCAGCACCAAGGCACAAATCATCTGCAGGTCTGACCTCCAGCAATCCCAAATGTTGCCATGGGAAGGGGTCACAAATCTCCAGCAGAGCTGTGGGTTTGTCCACCCTGTCAGCCCAGAGCAATTCCTGATGGGACTTGTGTCAGACTGTGCTTGGCCATTCCAAGGGATTTAATTGGCACTTGCAGAAATGAAAATTTTCTGGTTTAAGCACATTTGGGGAGTTACCTTACTGTCTTCATCAGTAATAAACTGTTCTTGGCTAAGGTCATCTTTCATCTGCACAGTAAATAAAACTGTCACTAAAGCTGAGTTTCTGTTTATCATCAATCAAATTATACAATAAAACTCAGAGCACAGTACTTAAAAAACATTTTTTAGAGAAAAGGCAAATCTTAAGGAAGTTTTAGTATAATCATTTCCTCTCAGCTGATCAACATAACAGACACAGTAATTTAGGTGGTGAAATGTGATATTAAAGCTTACAAGCCTGATAATCAGATTGCCTTTAGAGGCAAAAATCAAGCTGGCTTTCCAGGCCTCATCATAAACATTAATTAATTAATTACCACCTCTTCAGTTAACATCCAAAGAACATCCAAAGCAAAAACCCAGCAGTTTCAAGAAAAAACAACCCACTCTAGCTTATCTATTTAATTCCAGTTTTATTATGTAGGTAGCTTTACTGCTATCAAGGAGCATTTCTCATGTTTGTAAGAAGGAATTCAACTGGAAATATTAAAATATGTTCAACATGACATTTATTTTTATCTAGAGGAAGATAAATTATTATATGTACGCAAGCACTAAAAGCAGTTGCCAGAGAAAATAGGATTTATTCTCACCACACCTGCAATATTTCAGCCACTACATGAAAATATTTCTCTTTCTGAAACAATTAGCCTAATTTGTAGTAAGCTCACACAGACTGTCACAGTACTACTCCACTGAAGATTATTACTTGCCTAAAATATGATGCTTACATTTTTCCAGTACATTAACAAATGGCATTGTTTGAGAGGGAAGACCAGGCAGAAATATTCCACCCCATACTCTGCAGTTCTCCCAAACCCCAGATAATCCTACACCAGTCAAAACAAATGATTCAGGTTGCCAAAACAAGTAGTTACATTTCCCAATCTTCCGATAAGGTTTTACGTAAATGCAGAAGCAAATCTGGCACAGTCTGGAACCAGGGCAGGGCAGACCTCTCCCAGCACATTCCACTTTTCAAAGCCCAGCACGTCAGCAGAGCCTTCATAACACAAGATGCACACCTTGATCTCTGCAGGGCTTAGGAGGTTGTGGGGTTTGCTTGTTTACAGTTTTTAGACAGACAGAATCTCGGTTTTTCTTATTATAATATAAAAGATAGATAACAGAGCATGGAAAACGCTAGAAAAAGCCTGCTGTCAGGTCTATCTCACCACACCTGTTGACATAATTTAGAATTTATTTCCATGGTGTGGAAAATGCAAGTTTTTTTAGGGTTTGTTTTTTTTTTAATCCACACTCCCAAGCAGTCAATGGATCTTCCATTAGTCCTGACTGCCTTTTGGGGTGTTCAGCTGCCCCCCAGCCTCCAGGGTTTGTCCCCAGCCCTTGTCCCACAGCCTTGCAGCCCCGTGTTGGAGCTCTCTGCCAGGGCAGCTGTGGGGATGCTGCCACAGTGGGGGCATTGAATTCTTCAACAACCACCCTCCAAAATAACTGCACTCAGCAGTAAACCCCAAACCCTTGTGCCCTGTGAGGTCCAGCCCAGCCACTGCCCTGCAGACCCAAGATTTGAAATGGTCACTGACCCTCTCAACTCCAAGTTCATGGAGTTTTCAATCCCTTCACCTTCTGTTCCGCTGAGAAGAGAACAGCTTGTCCTATTTCTTGTGAAAAGAGTGCCAAAGATAGGAATATTTATAAGGAATTTGTATCTATCTATCCAAACCAAAACATTCAAAAATCATGACTCACAATCCCCTCCCAAATCATGGGATTAAATTAACATATCATGGGATTTTAAAAGATGCTGTTTTAAAAATTATGGAATACATAAATTTTGTTTGTCACGCATTACCTTAAAATATTTACACAGCCAGAAACTACAAATTTTTATCAACAGTTAAAAGAACCAGAAGCTTACCTAGGGAAAAAAAATCATCACATATTCATAAGATTCCTGGAGGCTGGACCTTTAAAAATAGTCCAAGTGTTGCAATTCAACACATGTAAATTTATGGGATTTGGCAACAATGCACTTGTGTCCAGGGATGTTGGAAAGAGGGGGAGTGCTCTTGGTTAACCTATTTTTTTTTTTTTTTTTTAATAGGTACAGCATGCCTACTAAGTATTTCCTATCTCAGCCCATCAATCAGTTTAGAACACTAAAGAAACACATAGCAGAGTGTGCTTATAAGTGCCCAATCACTAAATATTTTGGTGTTTGTTAACCAAAACTCAATGCATTCTGCAAAAAGACCAAGTGGAAAATAAAATTACAGTTTCTGAAAGCACATCCTATCCATGCCTTTTGCCTAGAGCAATTGGAGGTGGGAAGCCAGGTTTAATAAAAAAAAAAAGAAAGTAGGAATATAGGGAACAAACCATTTTTGAGTGGTTGTTCACTTTTTTTATTAAAGCCAAAGATAATTTCATGGAAAAATCCCCTTTCCCATACAATTTTTTATTTTCAATGATTTTTGGTAACAGTGGGGGTTTTTTTCCAAAATAAAAACTAATCTTCAGTCAAGTTTCCAGATCAAAAGGTGATGGGGTAAAAGGGAAGATTACTACCTTAGCATTCTTTCCTTAGTTTAAAAATTTGAAATATCACAACTATTCCTACCTGTCCCCAACACCTGCTGTACCAGACAAGGTCACTGCCACTTCTCTGCCCAGCCTCCCTTTTGCTTTGCAATCCCACAGTGCTGGCTGGTGGTTGTGATTAATCTGTGCCTTTTTACCACAATTTACAAACTCCAGCCCTGACACAGGGGAGGTGACAGACACGAAGTCTGGTGGCATCAGCCACAGCGTGTGGCTTTGCTGCCAGGGACAGGCTGCATCTCAGCCTCTGCTGTCAGAGCCTCCTCCAGCAGGTACCAGGTGCCAGGAACTGGAGTTGATCTACAGTTTGTGCTTTTCTGTGTACCAGACTCCTACTCCTGAGGAATATTTATCATCCAAAACCAAAAATACTGCCATAAGGTGTGAACAACATCAAGTCTCTTTTGTTTAAGAGGAAACAGTGAGCGGCTGGTATTTTCCAATATGCAATAATTGTATAAACATTCACTAATAGAGCAGCTTCCACCATACCTACCATCCAGCCCTTCTGGGACTGTGGCACTCAGACTCCTGTAATACCCAGATCTGCTCCACACTGAGTACAAAGGCAACAAGAAGAACTCACCCAAGCACTGTATCAGTCACAAAATTCACAGGTCATTTCCAAAGTGGAGAAAAAAAAGTTGGTTGATTCCTATTGGTTGCTTTCTTTTTAATTCTTGTTCCAAACTGAACAGTGAGAAAATTATATTGTTCATGTGGCCCTAATTTCAGTGCCTCATCCCTGTGGTTCTCTGTTCCTTCCTTCCTATACTTGAAACACCATTATACTGAAATAAGGTAATACTAGGGTATGAGTGACAAACAACTCTGCAGTTTGGTACACTCATTTGGAACAAAAATGTAGCTATTATGTTGTTTCCACTCAAATGACCCAGTTAATTTCAGTGTTAACATCAGCTGTCAAAACATCCTCTTAGCAGATTTGCATCCCTTATTTATTCAGAAAAAAAAAGGTGCAATAACCAAGCAGTTATCAGAGAAACAGAAAACACTACACAGAATGGGTGTTTATATTTAATTCTTGTTATTCCATCACTGTCTATCACATACTTAGTACATCATATTCCACACTTGGCAACACATAAATAAATCCGGAAAGTTTGTGTTCATACTGGAGATATCCTTATTTTCCTTTTGGGACTAATGCAGCCCAGTGAAGACACTGTCAATAAAGCCCATGTACCATGCCAGCCTCAGTGTCCTGCTTGCAGCCTCCCAGCACAGACTTTGCAAAGACAGCACTGCCACCAGTCCCAGCAGCCACAGCCACCTCTGCACTGCTGTCACCTCCATCCCCTTCCTCTGCTCTGACCCAGGGCTTGGGGGAACACACAACTTTGTGTTGGCCATCTCTGGAGCCAAGGAAACTCCTCAAGGCAGTGCCACCATCCCAGCGATGGTTTTGGCTGCTGCAATGTTTGCTTAGCCCATAGAAAATGTTCAACACGTTCCCTACTTTTCCCTCCTTGGAGGGAGAGTACATTTCCACTTTGAAGGATAAAAGAGCCAGAGGTAGCAGATCACATTGGCTCCGTGCCTTCAGCTGCACCTCATCCCAGAGGCCACCTTACCTTTGTGCACAGTATCCACGCTGTCACTAGGATGCTGCTTCCTGGCAGCTGCTCTGCGATAGACCACGTGTGCTCTTCCTCCTCCCTCTTCCTCCTCCTGGGCCCCCCTCTCCAGGGGTTCGATGAAGAACTCGTCCTTGTCCGTGCGGATCATGCCAGCCTGCAAGCCAGGGCAGAGATGGAACACTTTGCATTACTGCACATACAGCAGGAGCTGCGAGCAAACAGTTACAATATGCTTAAGCACACTTTAGTGCTCCCTAGAGAGCAATTAGGATGCAGAGAGGAAACCAGGTGAATTCTTTATTAGAGCAAAACAAGGCATCATTTTCCCAACTTGACAAGAAAGGACAAAAGGTACAACTCTGAACCAGCATGACTCCTCCTTGAGCCACACGAGCCAAGTATAGGTCTAAGAATCTGTCTAGGAAATCACCCTCTCCATTAAAAAACATCTACAATGGAAGTTACTATGACCTTAGCTATCCATCAGGCCCAGACCACTCTAGTGTTTACTATTTCTGCTAAATATAGGATCAGATCAGTGCCATAAGCTGGTTCTGATGTGCATTTCAGAAGCAAGATAGCAAAATACTGCATCTTGCATTCAGGCAGCTAAGCTTTGTGATTATTTCCCCCATGACACAAAGCCAACAAAATAATCTTTCAAGAATTAGCCACAACTAGTCTGAGTGTCAGTAGTGCATTGCTAAAAAAAACACCCCAACTTATTCATACTGGACCGGATACCCAGGTATGAAAATAGAAATTAACCCTTCTACAAAGCAAGTCAAAGGAACATCATCCAAGCAATTCTCATTGTGTTCAGGGGAAACCCTCATAAAGACTGAAAACTTTAAAAAAGAAAAGGACTTTTTGTCATCTTTATGCAGGTGAAACAACTTGGGCTCCTGGATCACCTGGGCTTGTCTCCTCTTGCAGTCCTGCCCACCTGCAGGAGGTCACAGCAGCCAAGGGCTGCTTGCAGAGATGGTTGGCTTGAATCAATTTTTTCTGCATATTTGCACATCTGTGTTTGAGAAGTTTAGCTAGTGAACTCTCAGCTTGCAGGCAAAGTCTTACTATTAACACAAATGCAATTGTTCCAGATCCAGCTTTCAGAAGTTCCTTCATCACATTCTTTCCCACTCTGCCCAGAGACAATCCTGGAGACACTGCAGTTTCAAACTTGCACTGTGACACTCTCTGTCTTGCTATCCAAGCTTCTGGGGGCCTAAATCCCCTGTTCAGTGAAGCTTCCAGGGGAAGCTCAAGCCTCCTCAAGCTTCCAGGGGAACCTGTTTGGCTCCTTTGAACCCAGTATCCTGACTTGAAACAAGCACATCTAAACACACTTATCATATTCCAGCACCAAAGTTCTCATACAGCACATATTTTTCTTCTACAAGCAACAAACTACATTCCTACTGCTATAAATACAATATGTTCACTGGTTCCCTCCTTGGAAAAATGTCAGGTTCATTTGTCATGTCTTAACTTACATTAGGCAAGATTTCCAGTCCCAGAATTTGTATATATAATGTATACAAAAACAGATTGCAGAGGAAGGATTAAAGAAGCAAAATTATTTCAAAGCAATTTAAGCTGATGCCATCCTGCCTGAATAGAGGAAACTGAATTTGAAATCCTGGTTTTTTTTAACTAATTTAGATTCTACATCAGACACAGAAAAGGTGAGATAGGTTCAGCAGCTCAAGGAAGGCAAGACAACCAAGAAAATGAGTGTTGAACCCAAAGAGACAGCAACTGATCTTTTACTGTAAAGTGGAATACATGAAAAATTCAGACTTGATGTTACTCTCCTTTTAATGTCATTCTAACTACATTACACACATAGTTCTTCTGGCTATTAAATATTATATCCAGAAATTTGTAAATCTTTTTATGATAAATGCACAACTAAACATCAAGAAGGAAAAAGCATTTGCAAGTTCAACAGCACAAGGTAAAATGCAACACCATACTACACTCAGGAGAAATACACTGAGAGCTTGACTGTCATGTGAAAAATATGTGATTTTGGTTTTTGCAAGTGAAAAAAGCGCCATGATTGTGCACATGTTCTTATGTATTTTTGGATGCATTAAACCTAATATTAACTAAGGAGCTAATGCCAGACCATAACTTGGAATGCAGACCATAATTCAGGATACAGGGGGAAATGCTGCTGTACATTGTGTGCATCAGCAGTACTGATGGGAGTTTGGAGGAATTTAGATCTTCTAAGAAAATTAACAGAGAAGCAACTTCTGCAAGCAGTAGTTGAACTGATTGGACAGAGGTACAACTCTTATAGGTGAACTTTAGCTTCCAGGGCATGATGGTCTTTTGGAAATGAAAACTGTTGGTCAGAGTGAATTCTCCTCTCTGAGAAGATGAAGGTGACACCCTGGGACAGGCTGTAAGACTAAACAGAAAGAGATATTTGAATGCTGGATCCCAAGACATAAAACAGTGCTTAAACACTGACATTTTCTGCAGATGATTGTGCCTGGTATTGGCTCTTTTCTGTGCAGGGAGGTTCATGTGGCGCTGGAAGCTGCCAAAGAGCAGGACAACATCAGGTGCTCTCATTCCCCACTCTGCTCCTGCATGGACAGGACACCACTCTGTACATCCCCATGGCAGCATCCGCCCTACTTCTGTAGGGGTGTAGAAAGAAAGGAATTTAGCCTTCAAACACAGAATCATAGAATGTCCTGAGTTGGAAGGGCCTCCAAGGACCATCAAAGCCCAACTTCTGGCCCTGCATGGCTGAATGTTTTTTTTCTCATTTTAATCTTGGACTACACTGAAATTTCTCTTTTCTTTTAGATCAATTATTTTTGATCAGAATTATTAGGAAAGAATGTATGTTTGAACTGTAATAGAATTTTATATTTTTATATGTTGCATGTCCTACACAGTCTTTCATTTAGCCAACACTTTGTCATGAAACAAAAAAAAATAAGAAAGAATCACTGTTTCAGACTTTAAGAAGAAAATTCATTTAGATGGCAAGGCAGAGTTCCTACAGAAACCCACAGTTCAAGTCATCTGCCTAATAACATAACCACAGCTATAAATGATTCATTAAGAAATATGTGGGGCTCCTGAAAGTCTCCACCACACATTTCCTTACTGCTTTGAGCAAGACATTTAACCTCTTTACTTCCATTTCTCCACCTCTGAACCAGCATAACAACTGCCTTGCAGGATAATTGCAAGGCCTGATTTGGGGGTTTTTTTTGGTCAAATGCTTTGAACATGAAAAGCTCAAGATGAATTGCCTAATGCATTTTTTTTCTGATACTACTCAGATCACCCTCAAAAAGCCACCATGAAAGGGAGATTGCTTTTAGTCATCAACTCAACACCAGTGTTGTACACAGCCAAGCAAGCAATAGGGCAACAAACAAGGCAGCAGGGGCTTGCCCACATCCCACATCCTTCACCTTCACCAGTCCTGTTCTTATCCACAGCTGCCACCACCCCTGTGCCAGCCCATCATGCCAAGATCACTGTCAGACAACCACCAAGTTTGTGATGATGACAGAGAGCATTCAGGTTCCTGCAATTTCCTGGAGAATGCCTCTGGGTGAGTAAGATAGAAATTCTGTATTGTTTGAGAACACCTGTGCCTTCCCTTCAACTGTAAGAGCTTCAGAAAATCCTTGCACAGTCATCATCTGGACATTTACTCCACAAGATGTGAAAACAGATTTTAAGCCTTTCAATTGCCCATTCCCCCAGAAATTCTGAACAGAATCGGAGCAGGTGCTTTCACAAACTAAGAGCTTAAAAGTACCTACTATTGTAGTGTTTTTCTATCCTATACTGCTCACCACCCATCCCAGGAATGCTGTACTTCCAGGTATTATGGATTAGCAGTGATCACCCTACACTACCACTCTGCAGCCACATACACACTGTGCAATCCATCACCAGGCATGGAATTGTGCATCTCCGTGGAAAGGAAGTCCAATTCTGGAAAAATTGCTAAGCTCTTACCTCTTCTTCTCCTCTTCTGGGACTTTTAACTTGAAACTAAGCTGAATATAGGAATATTGATGATGGAAGCTGTGATTGTGTCCTGTGACTAATGAAAATATAAATTAATAGAAAAAGTGTTTGCCTTTGAAATGCACCAAATTGTAGCAAAGAGCCTACAAGATCCCACTATTTCCCAGAGCGGGACATCCCCAGGCCTTCCCTGCAAGGGCTTTTAGATCCCAGCTGCAAATTACTCAAGTCAAGCACTGCTTGGCACTCATTAATATGCATTAAAGACTAGAGCAGAAAACACTTAATCAAAAGGAAACGGCAGTTCAGAGAATCAAAACCTCTGCTAAGGTTAGCAAGGCGGTTATTTAGAAGCAAAAGCCACACAGAAAAAAATTCACAAGGAAGGCTTAGAGTGAATGTCCTGTATAATTATGACACGAATTACACTGATAAGCCACAAATTAATCCATTTGTGGGTCACACAGAATTGGGGTCTAGAGTTCCACTAATCTCTTTGGAGGGTAACAGGGCTCCTGCGCATCCCTGCAGAGCTCCTCCCAAGGCTTTCAAGGACCACAGGATTTGCATGGACTGGCAATGGCCACAGCCACATGGGCTTTCTGCCCAGGTTAATGCCATTAATCCCATCCCACACGATGGAGATCTCCTCTCCAGCCCAGGAGACCTGCTAGAGCTTTGCCACCATACCACAGAGCTCAGCTGAACAGCAGGTTTCTTCTCCCATCTCCTCAACATCCCCAGCCCCTCCTGCATTCCTAAAAACACTCTTCAGAGGCCTAATTTGACAGAAAAAACTGCCTGGCATATTTAGATCTACAGAAAACTCCAGGTTTTGGAGTGTTAGCTCCTGTGGATAATTAAATGTCTCTCTGGCTCTGCACTTGCTGAGTGACTTAATTGTCTCCTCATTGCATTCAGATCACAGCTCCTTGTTCTGGGCTGTAATGAAGTAACCCATCCAGTGACTGCTTCAGGAGTCCAGAGCCTCAGCCCATGCTGAAACCAGGAGTTTAATTAATGTTCATTTTCTTCCTCATTAGTACAGATTAACAAAGCTTCTCATTGCCATAAAAAGGCAGATTACGTCCCAATCTCTGAGCACATGATACAGATAGGAAGATAAAATTTAATGTG